GGGGGCCTCGGGAAGGGGTCTGGGCAGGGCCGAGCTGGCAGCTGTGTCCCTCTGGGCACATCCTGTACGCCATCCCCAGGTCCTGGGAGAGCCCCAGCCCCGACCCCCATATCTGGGAGCCCCACTGAGGGGCCGGGTGTGGGGTGGGGACAGGTAAGAACACAGCCAGGACCAGGGAGCGTGTCCCAGGACACCCCCCTCGGGGCCCAGGTGCACCCACCTGGTCGTAGTATTTGTTGATGTACTTGTAGAGCTCGTGCAAGGCCACGCGTGCCCCGAGGTCCCCAGAGTAGTTCTAGAGAAGACAGAGGCGACAGAGATGAGGCCCCCCCCCCCCCCCCCCCCCCAGGGGGTGCCACGGGCCCTGCCTCTCGCCCCCTGGGTCGTCCCAGGTGGCCGTGGAGCCAAGCGGGCGAGATGCTGCTCTGACCTCACCCCTTTCCTGAGGTCGCCGGGCCCCTCCCCGGGTCCCCGACTTGGGGAGCTCTTACAGGGGCCCAATGAGAAGGTCATCAAAACTCCTCGCTCCGAAACACCCTAAAACCAGAGCTGCGGTCATTGTGGCTGCGATGGTCATCGGTTCAGAAACCTTGTGTGTAAATTCCTGGGGCTGATGTTCGGGGCCCCTTCAGGAGAAGGGGGGGCGCGTCTACACCGCCAGGGAGGCAGGCCGCCCGCTGACCTCAGCTGAACCCCCAGCAGGGGCCGCGGGCATCCCCGCACCTGGCTGAGCCAGGGAGGCAGCGAGAAGGCGTGAAGGGGGCAGGGCCCTCCCGGAGCCTGTGCCTAACCCAGAGCAGGGGGAGGGCCGCACCCGGGACAGCTCGGCCAGCAGGGAGTTCATCTCCTGGTCGCTGGCGGGGACGGTCTGTCGGATGTCAGCGTAGTACCTGCCGGAAATGGTGGGGACAGCAGCTGCCTGCTGCCCCAAGGTCCTTTCCAGCTCAGGGGCCTCCGAGTGCCTCCCCCTGGACCCAGCGGGACCCCGCAGGGCAGGAGGGGGCGGTGCTGGGAGCAGCCCTCCTGCTTCCATGTGCTGCCCGTTCCCCAAGTGATCATTTTCATTTTTATTTATTTTATTGACTTCAGAGAGGAAGGGAGAGGGAGAGAGAGACAGAAACATCAATGAGAGAGAATCATGGATCGGCTGCCTCCTGCATGCCCCGCCCCGCCCTGGGGATCGAGCTCGCAATCCAGGCAGAATCGAACCCGGGACCCTTCAGTCCACGGGCTGACGCCCTATCCACTGAGCCATACCAGCCAGGGCCCCCAGGTGATCGTTTTTAAAATCAGAAACTGACCCGGGAAATGAAGTCCGTTGCCCAGGCCCACCCACTCCCGATGGCTGAGCTGGGACCGGGAGCAAGTCTCTTAGATCAGAGCCTGAAACTTTCAGCAGCGACACCTCCTCTACCAGCGCCCCCTCCCGCCCCCAGGGGCCGCCCCCAGCTCTGCCCGGGCTGAGGGCTGAGGGCGGCAGCTTCCTTCTCGCCACCTGCTGC